ACACATCGTGAGCTGTAGCTGCGTGCAACGATTGAAAAAATCACACAGTTAATGCCCGGCTGAATCTGTGATGGTAGATATGTATTCAGATCCTTCTAATCTGATACTCCTGAATAAACATAGAGCCTCAAAATGCTTTAGGCAGAGTTCACCTCTGTGGTTTTGTTTAAGGTAATACTTAGCAAAAATGTTACCCTAATAAATCCTCCTCCACATTCCCGTGAGGTTAATCCAAGTATTGATGAGAAAATGGAAAGGTCTCATGTCTCCCCCTACTATCAGACGACCAAACATGCAGCTTTCATTGCCTCTGACCCCAGTAACAGTCTTGTGGCTCTGTTTTTGTTGTCACGGTACAACAAACGACTTCACTGCAGCCCAATATAATATAATATAAAGCCATCAGCTTCAGTAGCCACATGCCTCGCTGTGCTACCCCACAGGTGATTATAAAAATATTCTGTTATCTTGGTTGTTTAATACATGTTGGAGCCAACAAAGAAAGAAAAGAAAGGAAGAGAAAGCCTGAACTGGATCAGGGCAGTACTCTATGAAGGGTAAATTCAGACCAGGCATTTACTACTGAAATAAAAACAAGGACGAAGAATGGTGAAGACCTGGCAATGTTTTATTTTTATTTTCTTTTTTTATGGATCTGTAAGTACCATGCCTGCTTATCCCACTATCCCTATTAATGTTATTGTTGTGACTTTAGAGGCATGGGTTTTTAGCATACAGCTGGATCATCTTAAGAGAGCAATTATAAAAACAAGTCATTTGAGAGGCAGAATTACATTAAAGTTTTTTTTTCCCCGACAAAAAGGCTGTAATGCATTAGCTTACATTATATCATGTAAAATACTATCCACCTCTTCAGAGATGTGGTTGTGATCTGTGTCTTCCAGCTGCATTGGAGGGAGCGCAGTAGCTCTGAGGTGCTGAGCAGCTCAACCTACAGCAGTGCTATTTTCAAAAGGTCCTGTAGGGGGAGCACAGCTCAACGATAACTGAGTGCTGTTTTAATGTTCTGTAAAGGGGTCAAAGGTTTGTAAGACAGCAGAAGTAAACAAAATCTGGCAGAATGATCATGGATCAGACCAGTCATCAAGCAACAGAGTAGTTAAAAGTAGGGTAAGGCTATAAAACAATATTCCAAGCTTTCAACAACACAGAGAACACCGTTTACTCTTGTAGCCCAACATGAAAGTAGTATGGAGGAACTGCAAATTTAGGAAGACATGGCTACCCCCTTAAAGAACAGACAGAGAAACAGCCTTTTTTGTGGGAAAAAGAAGAAAAATCGTTTTTGAAACAAATCACCATCATGTCTATATTCCTCAGAACTGAAGGGAACTGGTCAGAATAAAGAACATTGAGTATCTTGGTGTAACTTGACCTCATAGTCTTCCTTGGGTTTGTTTTTCTGCTCCTGAATAGTCTCTTATATATATTCTAATATAAAATGCAACCTTAAATTAGTCAATGGAAAAATGGTTAAACTATGTCATGCTGTGAAAACATACCTGAAAGACTACGTATGAAGGCAAAACTATATTACTATGTTACTGTTGTTAAAATGCAACATGTGGGAAGTTCTCTCAGGCTTAATTTAAAAAATTGATTCAGTTTAACCTTATGCAGGTATTTATATTTCACTTTCTCTCTCCTTCTAATTTGGACTGCAATGATCCATGCTTTGACCCCGACCATAAGAGAGAGAAATATTAATATTGGCAAGGCAGAAAAGATGAAAAACAATAGAATTCTATATTCTAAAACTCTATTGAATACTGTATATGTATAGCCACAAGGCACGTTATTAAAGCTATACAACAGAGAAAACAAGCCTTTGCCACCTTGGTGTATTGAATCCCACTGATTCTGTGAGAATGTTTGACACACTGACGTCACAGCTGGGGATTGCTAGAGGCGCCCAGCATACTGTAAAATTCACTTGATTTTTATTACTTGCAGCATTTTTAGTGCAATTTGGGAGAGCCACATAGAGAAAAAGAAATTATAAGCTATCATCACACACGATAAAACTGCACTCCTTTTTTATTTGACCTTTAAACCAAACTAGATCATATCTTAACATAAAGAAGGTTAGCAAAGCCAAAACACAGTACCCGAGGCTTTCTATGTGTCTAATAATGGAAGGTATCTCCCGCTGCAACAATTCAGCAGCTTCTGAGAAAAAAAAAAACATTACTTAAAAAAAATTATACAGTAGATTTACATCCTGCTTCGTAATGGTGGATATCAGTTGTGCTTTGCGCATGTGAGAGATTTTTAGTTTGAGAGTTAAACTCAAAGTAAGGCCTTTGAAAGGTAGTAAAGCTAACAATCAGAGCTGGATTTGGTTGTAAAGTTTTCATCACACCTTCAGTATATTCTGACTTTTCCAATGAGCCTGACTTTTTTTGTTTCAAGTTCATTAAATCTGTATACAAATTAGTACTATATACGGCAGGAATCAAGCTAACATTAATAGACTTAATTGGTTCTACTCACACAATTGCTTTGTGCAATACGTAGTGTTAGAACCATGTTCACATATTGATACTAGTGTCATTTTGCCCCTCACCATGGGAAAATGTGATTAAATTTAATTAGAGTTGTTCTGATTCCGATGCCAGTATTGGAAATGTCCTCTTTGATAATAGCATTTATGTTTATTAAAAGCTGAGAGGAGCATAAATGTATCATATATATATATATATATATATATATATATATATATATATATATATATATATATATATATATAAACTACAGACTTCATCTACTGTGCCTCAACAGCAAACCTTCTATGGACGAGAATGCAGACCCCAGCGATGGTCTCATGAGCATGTTGAAGAAGATTTACGACGAGGGAGATGATGATATGAAGAGAACGATCAACAAAGCCTGGACAGAGTCTCAAGACAAGAAGAAAAGAGGGGAAGATATGATGGACTTTTAAATCTACCTGTTTATTTTTATACAGTGACCAAATGAGAGCTTTCAGAGTTCAAGCATGCATGACCAAAATACTAAAATCTATCATTGGATAATATTATAAGGTCCCTCAATAAGGTGATTTTGGTTACGTTCATACTGCAGTCTGAAGTGACCCAAATTTGATTTTCTTTTTTTTTTTTTGCCTATATGCGACCTGTATCGGATTTTTCATGCCAGTCTGAACAACAGATCTAATTTTTTTTCAAATGCGACCCAGGCCACTTGGCCATGTGGTCCTGTATCCGTTACGTATCTCATCTTTTTAAAGGCGACCTGTGTCTTAACGGCCAGGTCGCATTCATCTGACCTAAACTTAACTTCCATAATATTCAACAAAGGTCACTATTCTGCCTCTTGCTATGCAGAAGCAAGAAGAAAAATAACCATGGTGGATGATAATGTGTAGAGTAGTCTTTTTTTTTTTTTTTTTACCACAGTGCACGCTCGATTGTGACGGCATTGCATCCTCCACTGTGCGTGCAGGACTCTTTAGCTGTATGAATGCAGTTCATGCAAGAGATCACAAAAAGTTGCAAATATATTTGAAAATCTGAACAGCAAAGCAAAAAAATCGGATTTAACAAAAAAAAAATTGGAATTGAGCATTAAGGCCTGCAGTGTGAACGTAGCCTTATATTTGGAACATATTGTAAAGAAAAAAGTAATGTCCAGCAGATGGCGCCCTCCACGCTGTGATCAAAATTGGTGTAGTCCCTTTCCTTTCCAATGTAGCTCTGTAGTCTAAAAGTGTCTAATTGTGCCAAAGTCAAAATACAGTTTTCATATGATATAATTCAGAGGGACAACAATTGATTATATTCAAAATTTCCTTCCATAGTTCATATGTGCTTCATGTTTTTGTTACACTCACCGCCATATTGAAATAAAAACAAATATGTTATGCCTTCATCTGATGTTTATATTTTGTTCTTGTTAAGACCATTTTATTAGGACTGATCCTATTGTGTTCACTTCCCCAAGTACAGCTGGTGTGACATTGTTCTTATTTTTGTTTGGGTTGAGTTTTTTTTTTTTATTTGTTTTGTTCCTGCTGTAAGATTTGACACAAATTTCAACAATGACAACATTAAAACCACTTGTGTATATCTGTTTTTGTATTTATTATTATTTTTATTATTACAACATCCTGAACATGAAGGGGACATTTTTGCCTTTGGGGAGTTTGACTTTTTGTGCATTTATTTCTTTAATGAAGGCCTTAAATCACCAAGTATAGATTAGGTTTTGCAAAGTTTTCTCCACCAGGGGTCGACTTTCTATAAGGCCTGTGAGATTTTCACTCAGGGGAATTCTTAGCTTGTTAACGAGTTATTTAGATTGGGAGTTGTTTTTGTTAGGCACGTTGCAATGACAGCTCGTTTTATGTTTCAGAAACTTGCTGATGTAGTTCAGGATTAGGCTCATAAAGTTAACTATCTCTTACAAGTCTCGGTAGAGAGGGTCAGATAGAAAACTGAAATGAAGATAAGTTTGAATAATTTTGATTAAACATGTACAACTTCAGAAGATTACTTATAGCAGGATTTTTCACACTTTCATTCTTCTTATACGCATATATCATCTGAACTTTCTTCTCCTTCAGGCTGTATTGACATTTAGTCAAAGTTTTTTCCTTACATGTGTTATCAGTAAATCCCAGAAATGAGACTCTTCCTGATCAGAAATACATTCCTACAATAGTTTTTCCAAAGTGTATTTTTCCTACCAGAATATGAATTGCAGGGTGTGAAAAAGACCCTTTGTAAGTAAGATTAAAGTTTCAGATTAGAAGAAATCTTAACAGATTGTAGGTAGTCGTTTCAACATTTATTAACTTGACTTTTTGAAATTTTTATTTTGACTAGAAATTCTGGGATATCTTAAACACATACACGATTAAGCTGATAAATGTTGAAAGGCTTGCCATACCGGGCCCCTCCTCCCTGCGTCCATCCCCTCTCCTGACGTCACACCGGGGTATATATCGTCGCGGATCCGTGCCCAGACACGCCAGAAAGAGATTGCCGGAGTTGTTCGGCAATAAACGGATCTTCACGAATTTTTTCTGAGAAAAAACGCAGGAAGAAGGAAAACCAAAAAACAGATTTATAGATTTTATGGATACCGGTTACTTCATCACGGCGCAGCCTAAACCGTGTCACAACATGAACGGGGATTTATTGAAACCTATCCCGGGCGGCGGACACCACCACCCGCCCTCCGCCTCGACCAAAAACAGCAGGAATAAACCCGAAAGCAAACCTGAGGTGGCGCAGGTGGTGATGGACCCTAAGACGGGAAGGTCCTACAGTAAAGGGAAGCTTCTAGGCAAGGTAAGGCAAGGCTCACTCCTCCACGCGGATCCTGTTTGACCAGTTTGCTCCTGAGAATCTATTTTACACTGAAACTGAACAAACTATGCGGCAGCTGCGATTAGGACGCAGATTAGAAGTGACGAGGAGCGTTTCAATCATGTATGTTGGTCATTCCGGGGGGGCGGGGGGCTCGTAGTGGACGTGTTTAATCAAGCCCACATCTTCCCTCCTGCTGTGCGCGTTTTTTCAATGAATGAATCAGACGCAAGGTGTGTCCAGCTCCTGTTTGCAACACCGAAACCCGACCAGAAATCTTAGGAATGACGAATACACCTTTTTTTTTTAATATATTTTCTTTTACCTTATATGGATTTTTTAATCCCATCTGATGTCAGGTTGAAATGACACATGAATGAATTGAAGCCTTTTTTTGTCTCAACGTGTTGCTCCATCATGTCATGTATGTGCTGCTGCTGCGGGCAGTGAGCCAGACCCCCCTCCTGCTGCAGAGCTGGAAACCCCTCCGTCACTTTCATGGTTAATGAATGCAGCAGTGCAGTCTGCTTCATCCTTCACATCTCCTCAGTATGTGGAAGGAAATGCAGAAATAAACACCTGCTTGTGGGATTCAAAGGGCTTTAACACCCCCTCCTCCTCCAGGCTACTCCTTAGCTTTATTATCAGATGATCCATTCAGCACATTAGGCATGTTTTCTATGCCCCTGTGCCTTATTAGGAGCTGCTAAATTACAAATGATGAATCATTGTTGTTTAAAGCTTCCCTCAGCTGAATTATTAATCCAGTAGGGTTGATTTATTTATATCCATGTTAAAGTTTTAACCATTTGTAACTCCTTATTCTCCTTTCCCAAAGGGCGGATTTGCACGATGCTATGAAATGACAGACCTTTCCAACAACAAAATGTATGCAGTAAAGGTGATTCCACAGAGCAGAGTCTCCAAGCCCCACCAGAGGGAAAAGGTACATGCATCTTATTATGTAGAAGGCGATTGCATAATCCTCGGATCAGAACATGTAATGAATCTAACTGATCTGTTGTCTAATTTTGACAGATTACCAACGAGATCGACCTTCACAGATCCCTGTCGCACAAGCATGTGGTGAAATTTTCCCATTTTTTCGAGGACAGTGAAAACATCTACATATTCCTGGAGCTCTGCAGTCGGAAGGTGAGATGCTGGAATTCTCCAGAATGATTCGGCACAGCTTCTTAAGGCGCAGACTTTTGGCTCCTGTTTTATTTTTTTATTTTACTTTTAACCCACTGTTGACAGAGCTCTGTTAGTCCTCAAGTTTTATTTCAGTCCTTTATTAATACTCTCTTAAAGGTGCTCTGCATGATTCTGCTAATTATTCCCATTATTCTTTTTCATAATAGGTAGATGTGCACTGATCCCTGCCCAAAACAAAGAGATTATCATTTTAAAAAAAATTGAAGTATTTATTAGATACTAGACTCAAACTAGTATATTAGTCCCTGTCCCTTTTTTTTTTATGCATGTATTTATTAAACTCTTAAATTTTTCAGTAGAGTGATGTTTTAGCTTGGCCTTATATATATTGGGAAATATTTTTGACTTTTATCCAACGGAAAATAAGCAGATTTTGCTGCCTTACAAACTGATCTATGTATGAAAGTGGAGCTTTAGTTACAGTATTTGTTTTGCTAGCACTAAGGGTATTTTCCTTTCAAGTTAAAGTGTAACCACTAGACTGCAGTTTTTTTTGTGTGCAAAATTTGAGTCATGCCTTGTTATTCCCCCAATGACCCTCGCTACTTCGGTGCATGTGTGCTTCTGAGAAACTGATTAGAGGTTTGACGGCCTGCTCTTTGCCCTGTCTTTGTAGTCCCTGGCACACATCTGGAAGGAGAGACGCACTCTGACAGAGCCAGAGGTGCGATATTACCTCAGGCAGATTATATCCGGTCTGAAGTACCTCCACAGCCGGGGGATCCTGCACAGAGATCTCAAACTAGGTACGTGTCGAGCAGCAGCCACAGGACACACAAAGGCATCCTGGGAATCTGATAGGGCTTTAGTCATACTCCTGTCATGTGTGGAATGCAGTTTTATTAGAGGCTTTTGTCTCTTTCAGGTAACTTCTTCATCAATGAGAACATGGAGTTGCGACTGGGAGATTTTGGTCTTGCTGCCAAGTTGGAGACGGTTGAACAGAGGAAAAAGTGAGTTTTTGGTTTATCTTGTCTACAGAATTATAAATAATTTGAAACTTTTCACTTGAGATACAGTTTTGCATCTTAGCTGGAAAATGACTCAAATGGCTTTTTTTTTTTTTTTGCAAAGTAGCTTAACCTAAAACCATTACATCAAATGCTAAGCAGTTTCCTCCTCCTGCAAGTAACTGACTGAACCAGTTTCCAAGTGGCAGTTGAATGTAGGGCTTAGATCACAGTTTCAGTGATTTGACATCTTCCTGTGGCATACCAGAATGAGTGTGTCAGGAAAAACAAAATGCTTCAGCTTGTTCTTTTTCTTTGTCCCGCTTGCACAATAGAAACTGTTCTGGATTTTACTCTGTACTCAAGCATGCACCTGTTTTCTCAGAACTATCTGTGGAACTCCCAACTACTTGGCCCCCGAGGTCCTCAACAGACAGGGTCACAGCGCAGAGTCGGACGTCTGGTCGCTCGGATGCGTCATGTAAGTTTGGTTTGATGTCCATTTTTCTTTGTTTACTGCAGACATTTTTTTTCAAACGGACAGAAAGCAGCTGTGGTTTCTTCTTCATAGGTATACTCTGATGTGTGGCAACCCTCCCTTTGAGACACTGGACTTGAAAGAGACGTACAAGTGTATAAAGGAAGTTCGGCACACTATTCCCTCCACCATCTCCCCTGCGGCACAGAAACTCATCTCTGGTATCTTGAAGAAAAACCCCAGCGACAGACTGACCCTGGATCAGATCCTCAATCATGAATTCTTCACCAAAGTATGTCAGCATTGTTATTGTGTGGAGAAATATGGCGACCTAATCTTGTGTGTTTAGTTGCATGATAAAGATGAATAATATATCTTTTTTTTTTTTTTTTTTAGGGTTTTACACCTGACAAACTTCCAACCAGCAGCTGTACGATGGTACCAGAGCTTCATCCTCCAAGCCCTGCCAAGAAATTCTTCAGTAAAGTGGCCAAGAGCTTCTTTGGGAAGAAGAAGTCGAAAGGTAACGCGTCAGCAGCGTCCATGAACTGTTTGAAATTAAACCTCTAAAAACCTTTTATCAAAATATTTCAAAGGGTCGTTCCTAATTAGAACTATTTTCACAGCGGAGAAGAGTCCATGCGAGGAAAAAGATGAGAAGGATATTTCCAAGCTAGTATCTGGCATCGTTAAGTGTTCCATCAACCGGCAGATAAGCTACAAAACAGTGGGAGCCAATGAGGTAACCCTCTCAGCCTGTTTTTTTCTTTTTTTTATTATTCCCTTGTTCTTACTGTAAAATGGCTTCCTGGTTTAATTAAAAGGAGAAATTTGGCAAGCATTCTGGCAGCTTAAAACGTCTACAGTATCACAGCATGTTGGCTTATTTGAGAAAGCTTCTTCAACATTAAGGTTTCCTTTTTGAATCAGTTGAAGGGACGAGGGGGGGGGACAAACATGTTACCTATGTCATCCAGTATACATGAGCAAGAAAAAAAATTGACTTGCATTTGGTTCTTCGTCACAATTTTCTTTGAAGATATGTGCGTGCACACAATGTGCTTTTTCTAAAAGTCCCTGTTCTGCTTGCGGATGACTATCCTAAATGCCACAGTAGCAGGGTGCTGAGTTGGCCCCGCCCCCAATCAGGCTGGTTCAGTTTCTATTTATATAGCCTGAATGGAGCCACATTCTTTTAAAGAATTGAATGCGTCTTGATCGATCGGCGTAATTGAGATAAAAACTGATTTACTCATTTAACTCATTCATTTTATTTTTGTTTTCTAATTAGACTTTTTTTTGGTGCCTTTTCTTAGTTTTTGTGATGAGTAATAAAACAAATGACTGGATAGGTGATATTGGAAATTAAAGATGCAAGCAAAAGTAGTTTACTCTCTTTTCAAATGCAAGTGGGCTGAACAATCTTAAAGTAACAAATCATAACCAATTATTCATGATGTGGTAGATGTTGCAACATTGCAGCTCAAGCTCAGAGTCTGCATGAGGTGACTCATTCTTGTCTTGATAATGTCCCCAGTGGCTATTCTTTAGCTACATCCTGTGTTCAGTTTTAGCTTTTTTTTTTTCTGATAGTGATATTAATCATCACGGGTTTTCCCTCTTAGGAGCCTTCTCCTGCTGGTCAGGTGGTCAACCCTGTGCCTCTGGAACAGACTCCTGCTGAGGAGGAATCCAGGAAGTCAATCTCCCGCTCTTTCAAGGGCACTATGGCAAGCAGCACTGAACGTAGGTTTATCTTTTTTTTTAAATCTCATTTCTTGTACCTTTTTACTCTTTGCCTATTTTTTTTTTTTTTACGCGTATTGCTTGTTTTCACTCCAGCATGTGAGGATGTCCTGACTCCTGCAGCCGTTGCTGAAGTTGCCATGAAGTTGCTTAACAACTGCCTGGCCACCATGCCTGCAGGTGAGTGGAGCACTCGGCCATTAATCATGTGGGTTTGTCACAGTGAAGCATTACTGTTCACCTTTGAGGGTTGGTGCAGAATCATTAATGCAAATGGCAGACTTCTAGGATCATTTGTTTCCCTAAAGGCCTTTTGCCTCAGCAATAAAAATCCTTGAAAATACCTGCTGACTCATGTATCTCTAAACACGCTTGATGCTGTGAATTTTTTATTTATTTTTTTATATCCCATTCATATCTTATTTGAATGAAGTTTACCTGGGGACTTTTCTCAACCCTGTCCTTTTTCTTCACCTTCTCCCCAGCTTCCAGAAACCCTCCCTGTTTGTCCAGGCCTCCTTCCTTCCTGTGGGTCACAAAATGGGTTGACTACTCCAACAAGTACGGTTTCGGCTACCAACTCTCAAACCAAAGTATTGGCGTTCTCTTCAATGAGGGAATACATCTCAGCCTTTGTGACCAACGCAAGTGAGTGTTTCTGAAAGGCATTTCAAGAAGAAGTTGGGCTGAAATGATTTTCTTTAATCCTATTGTTTCACTTCCAATCAGGACTGTTCACTACTGCCTGACCAACAACAAACACTTCACATTCCCAACTCAGTCACTACCCGAGCAGCTTCGCAGCCAGAAACAGATTGTTGAATACATGGCAAACTACATGGAGCAGAACCTGATGGAGGTATTGAGTCTTTCCTCTGGTTAATAAACCCAAGCAGGAAGGAGTGGAATGAAACTAAATGTTTCTCTTCTCCTCAGGGTGGAGATCTCCCTTGTGAGGAGCACAGCTCCGGACCTCCTCCTCTTCTGCTTCAGTGGGTGAAGACTGACCACGCTCTTGTCATGCTCTTCAATAACGGCACCCTGCAGGTTCGGACAAATTCATAAATGCAACAAACAAATGAGCTTCTTAGTGAAAGTCTTGTCTTACCCTAATTTTTATTATAATTTTTTTTTAATCTTCCTCTTTAGGTGAACTTCTACACAGACCACACAAAGATCATTCTGTCCAAGTCATCCGACGACGCCTACCTGCTCACCTACATCAGCCGGGAGCGTGTCTCGTACACCTACCTCCTCAGCATGCTAAATGAGCTGGGCTGCACCGCTGACCTACGCTACCGACTCAAATATGTGGTCCAGCTGCTCCAGCACCACACTGATGCCTGAGAGCACAACCCTGTGCTCCATAGGCGGAGTGGAAGATGCTTTAGAAGCAGCCAAACCAGTTACGGACTTCCTTTTCTCCCTTACTGGCCTTTGCTATTTTTGTTTACTTTTCTCCAGGCAGAGCAGAGGGCGGGTAAAGCCTGTTTTTTTTTTTTTTTTTTACTGATGAAAAGCTGCTCAAATTGAGTGAGTGACAATCTAACCTGGACTGTCGTTGCCGGGGTGATTGGTTTGAATGACCTTGACAATGTTGAGCAACTGTGAAGTTACCCAAAGAAGCTTCTGCCTGAAGGGTTTGTGCCTACCAGTTCTTGCCTCGAATGGTATCCACCTGGAAGGTTTAGATACCTGAAAGAAGGGATCGGTACCTAGTTTGAAATGATAGAGAGGGCGACCATGAAGAGCCGCTTAACGTTCCTTTTCTTACTCAGAACCACTGGATCTTTGAACGCCTATGACCCTGCAGCTGTTCAGCCGGCGACTGACTGGCAGGCACGGTTTCTCAAAGGTCCAAGAACACTAAAAGAAACAAACTGTTTAAACTGCTTGCGAGTGAAAAGGGTTGATCTTGTGATTGAAATGCAGTGAGGCTCACTTTTTTTTTTTTTTCCAGAAAAGCGTTTCATCAGCAAGCTCTTCCTCCCTGTAGACTGCAACTGTGATCCTTTTTTTTTAAGCTGAGTTGCGTTTGGATTTTGGAATTGAGAGAACCTCCTACCCTCAGTCTGTTTCTGGCCTTTATGGAACATGGTGCACATTCTTTTGTTTTTTGTTTTATTTCTGTTCTCTGAAAATGAGCCAACAGATCACTGAAGATCTGAACCTCACACGCACGATATTTCCAGGCTCATCCAATGAAGGCGATGCTAAAATAATTGCTTCTTTTCCTGCAATGTCACTAAACAGTCATTTTCTTGACGCGAATTTCACTGAGGCGGTACACAAGATGCTACAGGGACAAACACTTTTGCACTTTTATTTCCTTTAACTATTTTTGATGACTACATTTTTTTTATACTCACTCGTTTAAATTTTATTCTACATGTTTTAACCAAATATTAAAGGTTTTTGGTTTTAAAAATGATTCTGTTTTTAATTTCACTCGCAGTAGGTGAATGTGCGTCCTCTAACGCAAGCGCCAGTAAACAAGGCAGCGTTGGTTGGGAATCTGAGGGTGTGGAGGTTTGAATAAAAGTGCCTTTCTGAGGGATGTCTGTATAGTGCAATAACAACCCTTTGATGAATGTCGAGCTGGCTACAAGCAAGATTTCAGATGGGTTTTTAACAGTGGATTTTACTTTTACACTTCAAGCCAAGTCTAAAAGTAAATCCAATGGCACTACGCTCACTACCTAGTATAAGCTTTTAGAACAACTGATGAGTATATAGCCCAGTAATATCCTCTAAGGGAAAAAAAAAGAAAACCTTGTATTCTGTTGTACTGTATTCCTTCTGGTTTACATTGCTTTCTTGATCCAGAGTTGTATCCTTTAAAACTGTGACCTGGAATGCAAAGTATTGCTTGTGTGTTCCATGAAAACACCCAGTGTTGTGAAAGCCATCTGCCAATTCAGAAGAGTCTATAATTTTTTGGCACATAATGTCTTTATTTATTTTTTTATTTATACATGTTTTTTTTATTTATTGTGTAAATGTTGAGATCTTGACACAAGGAAATATTTGGTTCAGATCACCTTTTTTTTTTGTATGTAATGTTTTGGGGGGGGAAATGGGACAAAAATAAAGTTTATCAAAAATTAACTTCTTGGCTCTCTGAGTTGTACTTTACTGTTTTCCTACCTCTGATATCATAGCTGATATCTAGCATTAGTTATGTGTACTTTAAGTTTTTTTTTAATGTAGTTTTGGAACTGATTGGTCTCTTCCAAGGCCTTATTCATCATCATATGTGTTTTCTTAAGACTAAAGACATTTTCAGCCAAAAACTTAATTGTGAATCATAATGATTTAGTTCCCTTTTTAATGTGCTAGAAGATATATTTTGCAAATGGGGGGCAAAAGTTCAATGTAAATGAGGGAAAAATCCCTCTATTCTTGATCCTTATTTTAATGGAGTTTGAGTCCTGGTTAAATAAAGGTTATTGTTTAAAGTAATGGCAGGTAATCACAACACACCTTTACTGTTTTGAAGGAATTGTCCTTATTAAACCTTAAACATCCATGTTAGGCTTTAAAAATTAAGGAATCTCCAGAGGGTGAAGGTAGCCATGTTTTTTTTTTTCCTTTTTTTCTTGCATAGAAAGGCCTAAAGTAGAGCATATTCAAAAGGTCTGGTCATCAAAGTAGGTTTACCCTGAAGAGCACAACTCAAGATTTGGGGAGGGAAAATGTCATCACAGGACTCAAAATGGCCTGGGGGAAAAAAAAAAGCTAATGTCTCCTAGTACAAAGTGAATGGGCAAATCCTCAATCTGACCTTGGAGCTGGCAAAACATGTTTACTGCTGAAGATCAGCGCTGTTGGGGGCCTGTGTATAGATGCTGGAGATCGGCCTGTTTTCCAGTTCAGACCTGTTTCTCTGACTGTGACTGGCTGGATGTACTCTCTTCATCCTCTGACATGGGACCTATCTCAGAGCTCGTCTGCCTGGCTGTGTGTTTCCTGGACGTGGCCGCCTTTTACAGCTATTTTTTGTATCCGTGCTTCTGTCTCCTTGAACCCCAGTTGGCCTCGGCAGATGGCCGCTCACACTGAGCCTGTTTCTGCTGGAGGTTTCTTCCTGTTAAAAGGGAGTTTTTCCTCTCCACTGTTGCTACAAGCATGCTTAGTGTGAGGGATTGCCTTCGAGTCAATAAGTCGATGCAATCAACTGGTTTTCCATGGATGGAAAACTTTGAATCAATTTGACTGTATGATCTTGTTGAACTGTAAAGTGCCTTGAGATGACGCTATAGAAATAAACTGAATTAAATTGTTTCTCTTTCAATTTATTTTTGTATGCCTGACATTTTGAGCCTATTTTAATATCAGAATGTTTTCAATTTTAGGAAAAACGAACCTGGTGAACCTTACCATTAAAATGGCTCTTAGTGCAGTCTAAAGAAAATTTACTAGAATTGGTATTTAAAAAAAGAGCCCAAAAATGGTTTTGCAAAACCCAAAATCAACAGTTTTCAATGGTCATCAGTCTCTGGGTTTAGATTTGATAGAAAGTCTGAAGTGTTGCTCAAAGTAATGACAAGGTTGCATCACTTTGAGTCTGGGGTTTCCCTCTTCTGAAAATTTAAACTTTTGATTTTTCTTAACCAAACTTCTGACTGAAAGGCCTTTTTATAGACCATCATGGGTTATGAGTAAATCCAGCACTGTAATGGTTAACTTAGAGTGTTTTAAATTCTGCCTGTTCACAAATGCAGCCTGATAAATCCTACTTGCTGTGATAAAACCTCTGCTGCTGACTCCTAGAATCATGGCTTCAGTGTACATTTGGGGTGAGGTGAAAACTTTAGTGTCAACAGCAAAGAGTTTTTGTGGTTCACCTCTGCAGAATACACCTCAGGCCTTTTTTTATTTACTCGGCTGCATTCCTAAAATTCTGCTTTGTTGAAGTGACTAAATGTCAGTCTTCTAAGAAAAATAATGATATCCTAAGAGTATGTGCTGTAGTTAAAGCTGCTGTGGCAGACAAAAGGGTAATAGGTCCAAAATTGGTACGTGACTCCAAAAGTGAGAAACAAATGTTGAAGACAACACAGGTTTTTCTGGTTTTTCAGGTCGTTGCTGTTAAAAACTGCAAGCACTAACATAAGATTATCAATACACTGTCAAAACAAACCTATGATTTACAAAACTAAAATAATACAAAAAAGATGAATGAGAGATGTTTAAAGGAAAGAAAGCTTCCTGTGTTAAGAATATATACGGATTTAAAACAAGATATGCAAAACAGACAAAGGTTGAGTAAGTTACTTAGAGATGAGTATCTTACAGCATGCAAACACAGATTTAAAATGCAGAACAAAAACAGAAAAAAAAGCTATATAAATAAAAAGGCAGAATAGTTGGGATGGAGTGACTAAAACAGCTGCTTCACCAGTATGTGCAAAGCAACAAAAATACAGGCAACCTTCTAGAAAAGCTGGCACTTGGTTATCGACAGAGCTGTTTCAAATACTAATGTGATGACACATTTGAATCTGTAAGGTTGCATTATGGAGACATGTTGCAAGTATTCACCAACAAGTAAAACAGGACAGCTGAAAAAGCCTTTGGTGTTATCTACTTTGAATGTCCTTGTATGTTCTGAGGTTCCTCTCTAGATAAGGAAAGGAAACGCTTGTCAGGACATTGAGTAAGAGACCTACGCTCTTGTTAAAGCTTGTGAAGCATGCTTATCAGTAGGAGAAAGATGAAGATCTGAAACCTTTAAAAATTAAAAAAATAACTGAACAAACTCACAAAACCTCTTTGTAGAAATAAAGATATTCAAATGTAACTTAGACTCCAATCTATTTGAGCTGTGGAAACACTAACAAATAAAAACAACAAAACAAAAATATCTGTCCTGCTCAGCACTGAATCTTTGCAAAGATATAACAGATAATAGACTTCCGGCTTGGCTTGTTGGTGATCTGCTAGTTGTGTATTGATATTCTTTTAATACGTAAAGGCCTCAAATATTTAACGAATTGATCATCCAATTAAAACCAAATACTCTCTACTTCTAGTATAAGACTACACTTCAAGTTGAAGACAAAAATGACATCATAGAAGAACTAAGCATCCAAAAACTACACCATTTAATTCCACTACTGAATCCAAAAGGTGATTTTTTTTTTTCTGGCCATTTCTTATTAAAAATATTATTTTAAAACTTTTTCCGAATCTAATTTGAAGAAATACATTTAGATATGCTCTTTCATCTTATCTAATGATAAAGTAGAAATTTTTAATAGGATCTACAAAAGAACAAACAACAGTAAGCCTCTAAAATACCCCACAGCAACCTCAGTGTTAGATTATCACCTTATATTAGAACACAGAGGTCTGTACCTCACTGGCAATACACCAAATTTCCCTTCAGCAATGTGATTACTGCCTTAGATTGTTGTTCGTACAAAGGGCACCTCATGAAGCCTTCCCTGTCGTTTTGGTTTGTATTTTTTCTCAAACTATCATGAAAGCAATCATTCCACATTAATAAGGATGTGTTTCATGGACCAGCAGTTAAAGCAAAAATATACAGCTAATTCAACGTATTTAAAACCACTGGCAGAATATGTTTTATTCTTTTAATTCATACAAAAAGGTTTTTTTCCTATAGGAAGTGAGGCAGACATCTTTCGAGAGAAAGAAAAAACTATTTAAATGTCCTCATTAGAGAAATAATTTGTCTATATTTACTTTTTATTTAAATGTGACCTTTTATAATTGTTTAATATGAGGTTAAGTTTTATTCTGAAGTTATAATATAGTGAAAAAGTTATTTCTTAGTTTTTGTACATTTTCAGGAAGTGAAACTCAAACACTATTTAGATTTATGAACACATTTCAAGTCTTTGTTGTAAATGTTGTATTATGACTTATTGGTACCAAAAGAAACAACAAAAACATTGGGTAAAAAGCCCAATGTGTCTTTCAATATGAGATT